GCTGGGTAGAAGACCCTTTTCGGTTTTTCTGATCCTGAATCAAGGGGCTCAATGCTCCTCTCCTGGCGTGTGAATTCCATTCAGAGATTATGTATCATTTCAAAAAAGTAAACTTTCGTCAGAGAAAATATTTATCTCACACCCAGACGAACAGACCATTAGTCACATTGTCAAGATTCAGGGGACTTCCTGATGCAGGTCCCCCTTTTGAAGTAAACACCATTCCTTTGCTTTGCCACTGAAATATACAAGATGCCCCTACATCACCACCCTTCTTTTTTTTTCTGTATAAACTCCATCCTTCAGCCCATTCTTTAATTTGTATGGGAATTCAGTAGAATTTAGAACAGAGTTCCATGAATGTATTGAAAAATCAACAAAGAGAAACCAAAAAGAGAAGAAATAAAAGGACAATCTCATCTGGCTCCCTGGCACTATCCAAGATGCTTCCACAAGGGAACTAAGGAGTGAGTGAAGACAACACAGGTCTGGGACCAGTGCATGCAAGAGCCACCCCCTATAGTCGCTGCTCTGTCATTTTATTAGTTGTTTCCGAAGAAATGAGAAGACAGATTAGTGCCTTTATTAAAACCACTTCACCAGAAAATTCTGACAACCTGTATGCAGCCTCCTCTGTAAGAGCAGGAGGGGAGAGGGAAGACAGAGGTGGTTTTGTTGCTGCTATCTGAAACATAAAGGACATTTATTTCTTCGTGAGAACTGGCAATGTTTAAAATCACCAATCATAATGCATTGTTTGTGGCCATTCCTTCCCTATGACCTTCACATGCTCTCTCATATATGATCATTCCCCGTTATGTCTATACATATATAATAAACCTAAAATATGGCATGTTTTGAGCAAACACAAACACTGCGGGTTTTTGTCTTTAGGATAGAGATGGCTTCTCGGTATCTTAAATTACCCCAGAGGTTTGTATTAGTGGCTATGACTTTTTTTTTTTTTATGTAGTGGGCCTTACATTCTAAGACTGGCACAGAAGCTACTAGAGCATCTTTAGAATCTGAATGGCCAGCATGAGTCAGGAACACAGTGTGCCTGTTTATTCCATGCTATTTCCCAGCCTGGCTAAGAACAAAAATGCCTTCTCAAGGCCCACCGAAATGCCCTGCAGAGGGCAGATGCGGCTTGCTTTCTGCCTTCAGCAGAGGGATATTGACCCAGAACTCAAATCTATACTTAGCTTAAACATTTTACCCATCAGCATGTCTGCGGTCACAAAACACTTCTTCTTCCTGTCACTTCTTGTTCAGACTATTGATAAGATCATTTGGCAGAATCTGTTTGGGACCCATGTAATATTGACTAGGAATTAGAAAGGATGATCAGAGGTAATAAGCCCAGAAACTACTTTCCTAAATGGACATTTCTATTTTAAGTCAGTGTTCCAGGGAGGACTTTAAATACACCAGCAAACTTATAAACTAATTCAAGACTGTTTGAACACCCCACTAACATTAAAAGCTATTTTGTTTGTTTATTTTTTTTTAAGTGCAGTGCTCTGTCTAACACCTGAAACAAACCATTAGTACTATGGCTTGAGTCTCTTCAGTACACTCTTCCCCTCTTTAAATTTGGAGTGTGTGGTCGTTATTGTTGTTTGCCTGATGAGAAAGAAGCAATGTCGTAAAAAGTATCTTTCCCAGTGAATCTAAGATAAACAACATGTAGCATCTACTTTTAATCACTTGGTGAACACATGGCATTTTTGTTGATGAAAAGTATTTGTTAATTATGAAGAATAATTTCTAGCCAGGTCTCACTATTCTGAAGATGCCCAATTATCTTAAGCACAAGTGAGTAGAGGCTAAAGTCCACCTAGTTTCACTGAAGCTTCTCTGGACACTCCATTGGCGGAGGTGCAGCTAACCTGGAAGGAAGGTGTAAGAGAGATGGGCATGTATTTGCAAGGCAAATGTTTTTTGTTGGTCCAGGAAATGGCAAACAAATAGAAGTTCAAACCGAATGACTATTTGATTTAATACTATAAGGCAGCGAAGAAAGCATTTGGAAACCATGATAGTTTCTGCAAAGAAAAGTCCGAATAGTAGTCCTCATAAAAAAAAATCAGGAAAATGTCTCTGGAAGTTATAAACATGGAAGCTGGCAATATATGTATAAGATTTATTCCAAAACTTTGTGAAGAATAAAGGAAGGGAAGTGTCTTATACAAAACTGAGCTCAGTATGTCTAAAGTCTAAGTCTAGGTACGGCTTCTCCTCCTCTTAGGACTTGCACTATCTTTAAAAATAAAATAAAGATATTTCAATAATTAGAACAAACTATGAAGGTATTGTGCATTTATGTTTTATGTAATAATAAAATATTACTTTAACATAAATATATAAGGATCTCTGCGCTTTTATTTTCCCCACAAGCACAATCAAATGTACCAAAACAAAGCATTTTTTTAAAAAAAAGAAACTGAACAAAAAAATGACATCCCATATAGATCTTGCTACCTTCTCATTTAAAGCTACAGAAAACCAGTTTTCAGAACCTTTTGCTCCAAAAGAAATAAATATACATTGAGGCAGGCCACGCAAAACGATATGAAAATATTTCCCTGGGTAGCATTAAGAAAAAGAAAAATAGACAAAGAAACATTTAAACTATTTCTGCATTTCAAAAGACAGATATGAAACATATATACATATGGTAAGGTTCAGTGGTAACTTTCAATTTTGTAAGCCTATGAGAGCAAGAGAAGCTGTAGGCACATCCTCTGAACCCCAGCTTCCAACCTTACCTACTTGGTAGCAAGGATCTGCAAATTCATTTCCTCTTTTTACCATTGGCTCTTTGCCCTCCTCTGGACTGCTTCACTGGAGTCTACTCCCCACACATCAGGAGAAAGCAGTGTGATCTAACCTGAAATAGCTCTATGCCATCCATCGCCTGTGACATTCATTGGGAAAAATGAAATACAGGCAAATAAATCTGCCCATCAAAAGTCGCCATTTATCTTGCAAAAACATTGAAAATGAAACAATCACAGGTGTTTGAAGAGACAATACTGGATAAAGCATATTTCCTAAAACCTTACTACTGAGTGCAATGCTAATCTGATGTTGAACCACATTTTTATGGTGAGAATTTAATTTTTAAAAATAAACATTTATCTAATACCTAACAAAGAAATAAAACCCCAAATATTTAAGGTTACTAAAAAAAAAGTGTTTTCCCTTTTAGCGCCCTTTTGTGCTGATAACTATTGATTTTTTTAACTGATCACAGTTTAGTGGTGTTAATTTTAATATAGTCATAAGCTTTTTTGTTTTTTTTTCCGGTTGTTGTTGTTTTTTTATTACCTACACCTTTCAGAATATTCTATTGTGTTGGAAGTAAACCATTTCCCATCGAAACAAGGTAAAAAAAGAAATACACCGAAAAAAAATTTTCACTAAAGGGAAGAGAGGAAGTATTGAAAATGTCCTCCTCCCACTTCATTTGTCCTCCTTAGTGAAAGAGGGGGAGAACTCTGTCCAAGCTGAACTGATATTTTTCTGTAATAAATTATGGGAGAAGAGGATGTAGGACCCAAAGTATGACTTGATAAACAAATGAACTGCTAAAGACAAAACCTGTCTATCATATATATATACACATACACATATATATGCACATATATGTATATATGGTGTATGCATTCGTGTGCTAAGAAACACTGTCTATGTGTATGTTTTCAAGTTCCTGGTTTTTTTCTTTACCTACAACAAAAAAGACCTAGTAGAGGGACAAAGTTTAACCACTGCTGTGTTCACAACTAATCCCTTATAATTAAGTTATTGAACCCAAAGGCAGAGAACTGTACAGTGTGTTTTCCAGTTCTCTCCAGAGTTCCCAGTTTCTTTCTGGTGGACAACTCCAGCAATATATTTAACCTCGCATTTCTTCTGAGTTCTTCCACAAACAGCCGGCCCTGCCTGATAAAATGAAGTGACCAGTCACTCACTATCGATTTTCCTTTTTCTTCCCTCCCTAGAAATACTGCCTGAAAATGAAGTTTACCTCGTGGTTTACAAAAACCAGTGCTTACCTTTCTATCCCAAACAGTATTCCTGCCTTGCATAAAGCGGGGAAACCATACACATTTCCTGAATGCAAACATTTATTTATTTTATATGAAGCCAATCACTTTGCTTTGATGGAAAGAGCCAATAAATGTTACACCAGGTCTGCGGGGTTTGAAGAAAACCAGAGTTTATAAGCAGTAAGGACAAGGGACATGGGAACACTAGAAAAGGAGGTTGGCCAAGAGCTGACTTCTGTCCTCCCTGCTGGAGAAGGCAAAACAAAACAACCCAAAATGACAGTTTCAAAATTAACAACGCGTATTGAGGAAAAAAAAAGTTGAACTTGTTAATGTAAACTTCAATTTTCTTGCAGTGCAAATTTGTGTGGTTAAAATTTGCCTATATATTTAAAAAAAGTGTATTTTCCCTCTTTTCCTGATGGGGACCCATGTTAAATAAACACAGCAGCACGTGTCAACTTTGAGCATTGGGAAGCTGCAGTTTTGTGTTTTGTACGGTTTGGTGGACTTTTCTTTCTTTTTGGTAATTTGTTTAGTTTTTCTGTGATTCTCTCTCTCTCTCTGTCTCTCTGTCTCTCTGTCTCTCTCTCTCTCTCTCTCTCTCTCTCTCTCTCTCTCTCTCTCTCTCTCTCACACACACACACACACACACCACTCCTCTTCGCTAAGAGACATTCTATTTCACTTTCTGGGTACTCGTTTGCAAAGGTCAAAACCCATCATTACACCTGCTATCTGTTTTAGGATAGTCCAGTGTCTTCGTTCCTTTCCTTTTCTCTTATTTTCACTATTTTTTTTCATTTTTAAAAGACCGGGAAAATAATAATTAAAAATAATAATTAAAAAAACAATCAGAAGTTAGAGGGGGAACAGAGGTCCCGTGAAGGACCATGGACCAAAGGGGAGGGGGAGCCCCACGCTCTGCCCCTCCCCCTCTTGAGTTCACTGGACGGGCGTCTGCACCCCGTGGTGTGGTGGCGTGTCCCTACTCCCCCCGTACACATCCTCGGCGCCCGGCAGAGTCCCTCCGGGAGGGGTCATCCTTTTCTCTTTCTGTCTCCTGTTACAAAACCAAACTCTCACCACCTCCTTCTCCAGCTGTAAGCTGTCCGCGAGGGAGGTGATCTCCTGGGCCGAGGGCTTGGGGCATTTGAGGAAATGGCTCTCCAGAGCCCCCTTGACGCTCACCTCGATGGAGGTCCGCTTTTTCCGCTTGCGCCCTTGCGCTGCGATCTTGTCTATGCTGGTGGGGCTGCCCGAGGACGAGTCTGCCTCTTCCAACCACTTGTTCAACAAAGGCTTCAGCTTGCACATGTTCTTGAAGCTCAGTTGCAGGGCCTCAAACCTGCAGATGGTGGTCTGCGAGAACACGTTGCCATACAGGGTGCCCAGCGCCAGCCCCACGTCTGCTTGAGTAAATCCTAGTTTGATCCGCCTCTGCTTGAACTGCTTGGCGAACTGCTCCAGGTCGTCTGAGGTCGGCGTGTCCTCGTCCGAGTGCGGGTCGTGGTGTGCGCCTGGGTGGCCCGGTGGGCCTTGAGGGGGAGGTGGCGGGGGCGGTTGCTGGTGAGGGTGAGAGTGCGGATGCGGGTGGTGGTCTGCATGATGCGGCTCGTCGTGGGCGTCCCGCAGGCCGTGGTGGTGCAGCCCAGCCGGCTGCCCTCCTGCGCCCAGCATGCCGTTCACCGTGAAGCTGGGCTGCGAGTAGAGCAAACCGCCGTTGGACGCTCCCATGGAGGGAGGGAGGTGAGCTGCAGTCGCCGCACTCCGCCATGCCCCGGGCCCGGGGTGGTGGTTGGCAGCGTGGTGCACCAGATGTGGCGGTCGCTGTTGTTGTTGCTGCTGCTGCTGCTGTTGCTGCTGCTGCTGCTGCTGCTGCTGTTGTTGCTGCTGCTGTTGGTGCTGCTGCTGTAGCGCTCCTGGCCCGTGCAGCTCATCGCCTCGGCCACCCGGCTGTACCACCACCGAGGGCTTGATGTCCGGCTGGCCTAGGGGGCTGGTGGACCACGGGGAGCCGTCGCCGCCTCCCCCGCCGCCTCCCCCGCCTCCTCCACCACCGCCGCCGCCGCCCCCGCTGCCGTGGGACAGCGCGGTGATCCACTGGTGAGCGTGGCTGAGCGGGTGCCCGTTGCTCTGCAGAGCGCCGTAGTCGCCCTGCACCAGGCTCTGCGCCTCGCGGTAGCCCCCTGCGCCCTGCTGCATGCCGCCGGGCGGCTCGGCGTGCACGATGGAGGCGCTGGAGGTGAGCAGGCTGTAGTGGTTAGACGCTGCGGTCGCCATGACTCTCGGAGCCGGACTGGGCGCTCTGGTTAAAGGAGCCGCGCATTTGACAGTTACTTTTCTGCCTGGGGCTCTCTCTCCTTGCTCGCCCCGCTTCTCTCCCTCTCTCTTTCTCTTTCCCCTAGCGGGCAGCTCCGACGCCCGCTCCGACGCCTTCTGTTGCTGCTCCTGCTATTACTGCTGCTGCCGCGCTGCCTCCCGCCCGCCCGCCCTCGCTCTTTCTCCTCCTCTCCCTCCTCTCGCTCTCGCTCACTCTCTGACTCGCTGGGCGCTCCCCCCTCTCCCCGCGCTCTCAAGCTCTCTCCCGCTCTCTTGGCAGAGCCCGCTCGCAGCGGCACGCGCCTGGGCCCCGCCCCCTCCACCCCCTCCCATTGGCTCTGCGCCCTTTGATTTACGTGGATACCGCTAGCAACCTCCCAGGCCGGCGCCACTGATTGGTGCAGAGCTCCACCACCCCCCCTTCCCTCGGGCGCCCAGTCTTCTCAGTCCTTCCTCTGGTACCCCCACCCCCAGCCCAGCGATTCAGATTCTCTTAGTTCTCACCCCCCCTCCTCTTCTGTCCCCGGCCTCCACCTCCCCTCTCGGATGGGCCCCGCCCCCCATCTGTCTCCCAAGCTGAGAAGCCTGGCAGCGGGGCGGTCCAGGAGCTCTGGTGGACTACAGTCGCTCGAAAGACTTGTATGGGAGGGAGTCTACTTTCTCTTCCCAATAGGTCTTTTTGGGGGGCGTGTATGGTGGAAGAGAAAGGCTGGGTCTCACCGAGTCAGCAGGAGTCCTATTTTCATTCTTCTAGGGACACACACTCACACACACACACACACACACACTGTGTGTGTGTGAGTGTGTGTGTGCAGAGCGCGTTCCAATGTCGTTTAAACCAAGAGCTAGAACCAAAGCCAGACTAACCGGAACCTTTCTTACCATGGTTAGAATTACAGCGCACAGGTGTCTTGTCCTCTCTATAGGTACTTTTGTCCTCAAATAAAGATCCTCACCTTCCCCTTCACCCCAATAGCCAAGATCCCTTAAGCTTCAGATCCAATTTTATCTCAGTTTCTTTCTCAAAAGGCTCCGGGAGAGAGAGGCTCGACCTACGCCCTGGATTTTGAACAACTCCAGTTGCACGGTAGTGCCTATTCTAACAGCTCAGCGTTCTGAACTGGAAACAAAACTCTGGAAGTGTGTGCCACACTGACACTCGGCGTGCACGGAGGTTATGGTTCAGAGAACCAGGAGTTTTCCTGGACAGACCTTCGCCGTGTCCGATCCTTAGGGAGTCTCAAAGAAGAGCGAGCAGCCTCGGACTGGTGGAGCTACTGAGTGCGGCTCTGGAAAGCCGCGCAGCTGAAGCTCTGCGCGTTTTCATCGGACTCCAGGCCTGTCTGTGCAACTTTCGCATTAGTTGCTGCAAGTGGGAGGAAGACAGGCGAATGGGCTCCTGCTACGAAGTCCTTTCTAAAGAGCGCTTCAGTGGGCGCCAGAGGCCAGGTTTAGTCTAGTGTTTCAGGTGCTGGCTAGTTAAACCTTCCAGCGGTTAACTTCCTAGTGTGACCCAGGACCGGTGCATTCACGGCGGGGGATCTGACCAATGCAGAGCATCGCGCCTCCAATTCCTAAGGAGCTGGATGGCTGTAGCCAATTTCCGCGCCTGCGAGCTGGGTAGCAGGGATGTAAGATCAAACTCGGGCTTGAGCGGCGAGACTGGCGGGCACAGTCTGAGTGCACGTACAGGCCCGGCACAGCGAATCAAAAGTATTGCGACTGAAGGAAAGACCTGGGGAGCACGAATAGCTTCCCCACCTCCTCGCCCTGACCCGGCGCCTGGTGATGTTCGCGCCGGCTCTTTCGGCCAAATCGATGCTCAAAGGGAGCATTTTAGGACCTCGGAGCATCTTAATCTAGACAGCGGAATGGAGCGGGCCAGAAAAATTCATCATGACTAACGAGGAGCGATGCTCTTCCGGGAGTGGCTGAATTGTTTATAAATCAATGGGGCTGAGCACTAGCCAGGACTAGGAGCCTTGGCTAAGAATCTCCACGTGTCCGGTGTTTATGAACATGTGTGGAGGAGTCAGAAACGGCTAGGGGAGGGGCGAGTCCACCCCGCAGCCAACAGGACAGATCTACACCTTCCCGCGCGCACCCGCTACGATTCACATTGAGCGCCTGGCGAAGTGTTTCAGCGTGAGCGTCCAGACACTTCGGCTGTGCACCTGGGGGCTGTTAGGAATTTGGTAACTTTGCCAGGCCAGTAAAACATTGAAAAGTTCCAGCCTTCTCAGTGCGCAGACTCAGCGACTGATGAGGGTGTTTTTTTAGTTTGCGCACTCGGCGGGGCGGGGAGGGAGGTACGGGAGGGGGGAGACAGGAGAGGCAGCATCCTCGTGTCACCTGCCTCCAGTCCTCTGCTCCTAGTAAGATGTTGTCTGGTTTGGGGAGCCCGCAGGTCTCTCTCCAGCAGTGTTCCTTTCCGGTGCTCCTGGCTTTGGTTTCTTGCTTCCCAGGAGTTCAGAGCTACAACCTACGGGAGAATTTAGTTGTCTGGAATGACTCAAGGCAGTGTGCGGAAAGCGATTCCCTTCCCTGCCCGCAAGGGCAGGTGTCCTCCTGTTCCTATTTAATTTCATCACTTAAAAAAAAAAAAATACAAGAATCTTTGCAGCCCATAGGATGATACTCTCAAGGGGAGAATTAAGTTTCCAGATATATTTCCGAGGAATTTGTTGCTGCCCAGGTCTCTGTAAGAGCCCCTCCTCTCGGTATCTTGCCTACCCCCCCCCCTCCAAGGGGTACTCTGGGCACTGAAAGCTAAGTATGTGTGCCTGGTGGTGATGGGGGGGGGGCAGAAACTGGCGGCACCTGAATATCAGAGCTTACTTTGGTGGGACTTCACTGTCCCTTAATACCAGCAGATCCTTCCCATTTTGACGTCCCAGGTCTGCACTTCACACTACACCCCCCCCCCCAGCCCCGCCTCGTTCGCTGGCGAGCAAAAGAACTGGCCCGATCGCTTCCCAACTGGTCTAGCTGGGAGAGTGGTACCCTGGCTTAGAATGTCTATTGAATCCCGGGAGTATACTAAACGGTGTCCCGCCAAGGGGGCCCTCAGCGTCTGCTTTCACGCCCGCCTCGGGTGTAGGGCCAGCAAAGGGGAGGGCCGGGCTGGGAGCGCAGCTCCACTTGGAGCACCGCCCCTCTCCACCCCTCTGGGAGCCAAGGCCGCCTCCGCCTGTGGCTAGGGGCCTGGTTGGCTCGAATGCGGGGTTCGGAGCATCTGGGAGTCCGGCCCCCCGCCCCGCGTGCCTTCCCGGGGATTCCAGAAAGCCTGGCTCTCAAAGGTTTTAGCTCCAGATGGGGTCCTTCCTCTGGTCCCGCGGTCACTAGCGCGATTGTTCCAACTGACCCAGTCAGGAAAGAGACCGCCGGTTTGCCTGCCTGTCTCCGCCAGAAACACAGAGCGTTGAAGGTGTCTCGGGTAGACTCCTTCGGATTTTGATTCAGCTTGTTCTTTTTCACTGTTCAAAGCAGCTGTTCAAACACTGCGGCTGCTTACGCTGACGTGGAGAGGATTTCAAACAACCCTAAAATGCTTTGAACTGACAAGGTGCCTTGATAGCTGCCTCACTCCAGCACAGCTCCTCCGGAGCACTTGCTAGGACAATGGCTGAGCGAGCAGTTGGTGCTGGCCTCTCTGCCTGGGGAGAGGACTGCCCAACCCCCAGAGCCCCTACTGTAGGGCTAGGCTGGCAGCACAAAGGAGAACGATCTTGCCTTAGGCTGCAGCACCTCAGGTTCACTCAGATCTTCTGGAAGGGCATTCTTCAGCGGTACTGTGGCTGCTCTGGTCTGAAGCGGTGTGGGCTCCGTTGGGTTTAGAATGCACTGAGCAGAGGGGAAACAACCCTGATACCCTCGCGACGCTAAAACACAAAAACAAGCAACCCCCCCGCACCGGCATTTGTGCTCCTTGAGATACTGTGTCGGGCTGTGGAAAGCGGCAAAGAGCATCTTGACTCCAGATCCCAAACTCTTCACCTGAGTAGCAATTAGGAGAGCAAGCCAAGCTCTGTAACTTGAACTCTAGCTTGTTAACTTGTAAACATGCTCATGTCCTACATAAAACGTCGTTTACGTATTTCTTTATGTTAGGAGTTGACCTAAGGTGTACCTAAACCGTTCTCGTACTTTGAACTGAAACCACGCAGTTGTTAAGGCAGGAGAGATGGCATTCATTTGATAGATTTAAATTTTTCCTCATTATGCAGTCTCAGAGAAGTAGAAATTAGGTAGCAACAGAAAACAAAGAGAATTTTTTTAGGTGCCCAGTGGAAGAGTAGAAGAGGCAACTGATTTAAAAATTATGTAAAAGTGACCATTGCTTTTATTTTTTTAAGTACCTTGGGGTGGGATTACCCCTTCTCCACCTCCCCTTCTTGCTTTCTGCTCTTCCTCCAGCCCCAGCAGCTGCTTGGTGGAGACCTCCTCTCTCCACATCTGAATAGAACTTCTTTGCTCAGGGCCTACAGAATGTCAAAACTGAGGCTACAGCATCAGAGCTCCAGGTTTGAAACCACCCCACACAAAGAGGCAGCTGGTTGCCTTTAAGCTTCAAGCACTGCAGCCTTGGGAAGACATTTATACGGAGCAGAAAAATGCATTGACAAATAGCATGTTCTTGGGAAATAGACAATAAAATTTACCTCAAAAATGAAATCAATCTTAACCATGTAGCTATGCACTGTCTCTTGAAAAAAGAATCCCCCATTTAAAATTTTATGTTCCATCTATAAATACATTTTGCAAATTCCTAAACGTCCATCTGTTCCTATGTTCCTGGAAATGAAAAAGAAACCCTGAAGAATGATAAGGTCTCTGAAAGTTGCAGTATCTAAACTCGTACATTTGGCAAGTTAGTTTCTTGATGGCTTGTGCACACAGAATTCTGTTTATTTTTCCACTATCAAGTAGTCCATTGAAATATGCTATTCAGTGGTATTTGA